CCCCCCCCGTTTGGGGGTCAGGAGGACTGTGGAGCCTGTGGGACTGTGGGCTGCCCTCGGTCCCAACAGCAGAGAGAGGCTGACCCAGGTGTTTGCTGTAGTTTAGCCCAAACCCAGAGACCACGTGTGTCCGTCTGCTCACCTGCTCACACTCCTGAAATCACCTGAAACCACACACCTCAGCCACCCCGACCCGATTTCAGGCCCCAGCAGGGGTGGGGCCTGCCCAGAACAGTGCCACTCACTGCCGTGGCCTCAGTCACCTCAGCCTGGCCACCTCCACTCCGTGTGCGCGACCTGTCTCCTCGCAGAGAAAACCAGCAGTCGCAGGTTTGATTCCATGGGAACACGCATCACCGCCCCCTTGCAGCCAACTCCACCCTCCACGTGGCTCGTGATTCCCAGAGAGGTGCGAGCAAGGCTCCCGTCTGCCTCGGCCTCAGGGGCCCCAAGGACCACGCCCATCTTCCTGAGGAGGAAAATGAAACACAGCGACAGTCGGGGGACACCCCAGCACCATGGTCCGATCTGTGATCTGTTGCTGATGTGCCCACATCAGACCTGGATTCTCATCTCCTGTGTCGCGTCCTCTCTCCTCCAGGCAGGTGCTGGCCTTTCAGAGAGATGAGTTCATTGGAAAACTACACGTGGCCTTCGGTAAAGCTGTGACCCCGAATAACAAAGCCCGAGGGTGGCACTCTCCCCGGGGGGACTCGCAGTGGAGAGTCTGATAGGGGACAGGGTAACCTTGACTGCACTGCAGACGTCCACCCCCGGGCACCCAGTGTCACATGCGTGAGGGTCACAGCAGCTCCGCGGCCCGAGCGCTTCCCAGCACAGCTCTGCCGCTTTAGCATCCAACACTCCGCGGCCTGGGCCCTGGAGGAGGGCCTACCGTCCCTCAGCAGGACCTGCCAGGCTGGCAGCCGCAGAGCCTGCAGTAGCCAGGGGTCCCTGCCGTGACCCCCAGAGAGGGCATTTCGGATCGTCTCAGGTGGGCTCTGTCATTGAACCTAGCAGGAAGTACAAGTGACGCCCTGGCGTGGATTTCACGTCCCCTGCTTCTCTGATAGCGTTGACTTTATGAGATGCAATAAATAACAAGGCTTCCTGGCTTTAGGGTGGCTGCAAGGGCTCAAAACCTTGCCTCTCGCTTTCTCTCTGCAGAGCATAATCTACTACATGGTAACGTCCCCGAAACTCCTCTCCTGGATCAAAAATGAGTCGCTCCTGACGTCCCTGCAGCCTTTCGCCAAGTGGCACTATATCGAGCGCGACCTCGCCCTGTTCAACATCAACACCGACGACGACTACGTGCCGTGTCTCCAGGGCATCACGCGCGCCAGCTACTGCAACGTGTACCTCGAGTGGATCCAGTACTGTGCGCGGAAAAGGCAGGAGGTAGGCCGGGAGGTGGGGCTGGAGCCGCTGGCCGTCGGTTTAAAAGCAAGTGTGATTACACAGCCAGTCTCTCGGCTGCACCTGCTGGTGGACTATGATAAAGGAAAGGAGAGACGACATGGCACTTGGATAAATGTTAGCAACTGAAAGAGTCCACGGACGTGACTGCGACGCAGGAGCCTGAGGGTCTGTTCCCTGCAGACTGTGCTCAGGGTCGGGGCCGTGTAAGCTGCCGTCGCAGCTGTAAAGCTCTGGAAGCTTTTTCGTTTAAAGTCACTTTCTGAGATTTCTGCGCGAAGCGCATCCGCGTGGAGCCCAGGGGTTTACGGCACATGCTGAGCTGTGGGCATGAAATCCTGTTCGCGGTCAGATGGTCCCGGTTACCCCTGAGCTGTGTCTCCTGCATCGCTGCTCACGTGCTGGGGACACTGTGGAGGTGGGCGCAGCCTCTCAGACATGAACTGAGGACAGTGACAGCCCTGGGGCAGGGAGCAGCAGGTGGGGAGAGGCCAGGGGAGGGGGTGGGCTGGCTCCTTTACGGGATGAACAGCGCAGTCCCCCTGCTGTGGATGGAGACAGCGGGTCCAGGTGGAAAACAACCTCCAGGGCCGCGGGTGAAGGCTGCCTGCGGCCTGTGGGGGGTAAACCAGGCCCGGGGCCTCTCCGCCAGTGATTACAGATGGGCGGTGGGGATTGCCCGGGGCAGCGCCTGCCTTCTCCAGGGCAGCAGGGAGGGTGCGCCAGTGCCCTCTCCCAAGCCGGTGCCCTTGCCCACGCCAGTGCCCTCGCCCACGGTGGTGCCCTCGCCCTCCATGGTGCCCTCGCCCACCTGGATCTCATCAGGAGGTGGNTCCCACGGTGGTGCCCTCGCCCGCCTGGGTCTCATCAGGAGGTGGAGCTGCGCAGGGAACCTGCCGATGTTCTTCCCTGTCCCGCGATGGCTCCTTCCTCAGTTCGTTCATGACATCATTTCATTTTTCTTGCTAAAGATATTTTGACTTTAAATTTCTCCTGCCCTTCCCTTGCTGCTTTTTTTTTTTTTGGTTTTAATTCTCACCAAAGGGTATTTTTTCCACTGAAGACAGAGACAGAGACAGAGACAGAGACAGAGACAGAGACAGAGACAGAAACAGAAACAGAAGGAGACGCAGAGAGAGAGAGAAACGTCGATGTCACATCGACTGGTTGCCTCCCTCACGTACCCGGACCGGGGCTGGGGCTCGAGCCTGCAACTGCGGCACGTGCCCTTGACTAGAAATCGAACCCGGGACCCTTCAGTCCTCCGGCCGATGTTCTAACCACTGAGCAAAACCAGCCAGGGCTTTGCCACCTTTGGAAAGCTGACTCCGGACGACTCGCTTAATTTAGTTGTTGATGGTGGACTTACGGTCAGTTCAGCGGCTCTCATCACAGTGAGAACAGAAAACCCTCATTTGTGCTTGACTCCTGCACTTTTCCTGCTGGACGTGCCTCCCCCGCTCTGGACAGTGGGAGGTGGGCGTGGACAGTGTGAATGGGAGTGGACAGTGTGAACGGGCGTGGACAGTGTGAATGGGAGTGGACGGTGTGAAGTGGGTGTGGACAGTGTGAAGTGGGCATGGATGGTGTGAAGTGGGTGTGGACGGTGTGAAGTGGGCGTGGACAGTGTGAAGTGGGCATGGACAGTGTGAATGGGAGTGGACGGTGTGAAGTGGGCATGGACGGTGTGAAGTGGGTGTGGACGGTGTGACGTGGGCGTGGACGGTGTGAAGTGGGCGTGGACGGTGTGAAGTGGGCGTGGACAGTGTGAAGTGGGCATGGACAGTGTGAATGGGAGTGGACAGTGTGAAGGTGGGCATGGACAGTGTGAAGTGGGCGTGGACAGTGTGAATGTGAGTGGACGGTGTGAAGTGCGCATGGACAGTGTGAAGTGGGTGTGGACAGTGTGAATGGGCGTGGACAGTGTGAAGTGGGTGTGGACAGTGTGAAGTGGGCGTGGACAGTGTGAATGGGAGTGGACAGTGTGAAGTGGGCGTGGACAGTGTGAATGGGAGTGGACAGTGTGAAGTGGGCGTGGACAGTGTGAATGGGAGTGGACAGTGTGAAGTGGGTGTGGACAGTGTGAATGGGAGTGGACAGTGTGAAGCGGGCATGCACAGTGTGAGGTGGGCATTCAGTTGACTATAATCTCTGACCATCTCCATGACCTGAAGTGCCATGTGCAGAATTCTGGGATCAGGTCAGCAGCCACGTGTCAGCCCCTCTCTCCCTAACGGGGCTCCCTCTCTTCGATTTCTTCGGCAAGTCCAACCACAAGAAACTCCTTCGGAAGCAGAGGGATCCAGCCCCCGGGTCACACCGTGAGGACTGGATGACCACTGTGGCTGACCTAAAATTAAAATACTCCTGGGACGCCACACCTGAGATTCCAGGCGATGCAAGGGGGCACCTGTGTGACAGCTGAGTTAACATCTCTTTCAGCCTCTGAAGACCCAGGACAGTGACGAGGACTCTCCGCTAGTGACCCTGTCCTTCGCCCTCTGCATCCTCGGGAGGAGAGCTCTGGGGACGGCCGCGCACAACATGGCTCTCAGGTACCCACCGGGGGAGGCGGCCTGAGCAGGCTCCAGCAGTTGATGTTTTGACAGTTTTTTCACCCATTTTACCCTACATATGGTCTGCTTGTGCTTCTTTCAGACAGTCCTTTCCATAGTAAGTTACGTAGGGCCTGTGACAGGACTTTCTGACCACTGTGACCTCTTGGAGCGTTAGATTTGGAAATGGCACTAAAGTGGGAGAGCCCAGACCCCGGAGTTCCGGGGCGTCCGTGTTTCAGGGTCCTTGCAGACGCGGGGGGAAGATGAAACAGAGCCACGCACATGGATGCNTGTCCGTGTTTCAGGGTCCTTGCAGACGCGCTGGGAAGATGAAACAGAGCCACACACGTGGATGCCCAGCAAAGCCCTTGCTCAATAAATGCTCCTTTCCTTTCCGTTTCCGCCTCTGCTCTAGACCCTGCTCTGCCCCTCTCTGGGGCTTTGATTAATGAGAGGTCCCTTCTGCGGGTTCAGACTCTTTCTCCTGGATCTTCCCCCTCTGTGTGTAAACGACCAGCTTCTCTTTGTAAAGAACAAACGCAAAATGACACTCTCTCCTGACCCTTCCACCCTCCCGCTGCCCCTGTCACTCGGGTCTGATCTCTGACTCACTAAGGAGTTCATGACCTNATGCCCCTGTCACTTGGGTCTGATCTCTGACTCACTAAGGAGCTCATGACCTTCCATTCAGAGAGGAGCCCACAGCCCCTGCCCCTCCCCGCTGGGCGCCTCCTGCCCCTGGCCCTCCAGCCAACCGCTCTCATGGATGTCACCAGTCGCCTTCGCACCCCCGAGTCGTGGCCGGTTCACAGGCTGCTCCTTTGGTGGACCAGGTGTTCTTGACTCTGCCTATTAGAAGCTCCTCGATTAGTTCCGTTAAGATCTCCCATGGAGCTTCTAAATTTCCTGAAGCCTGGGCCCCACCCCAGTCCAGACCAGTTACACCAGAACGTCCGTGGGTGGACCACGCACCAGGGTTTATAGCTCCCCAGCTGATTCAGTGTGCGGCCAAGGTCGAGAGTCGCGCGGAACGAGGGGCTTAGAAAGCGTTCCCTGTAGCCCCCTCTCTGGTCTCTCCACGTGGACGCTCTTCAGTGCTCTGTGCTGANAGTCAAGAGTCGCGCGGAACGAGGGGCTTAGAAAGCGTTCCCTGTAGCCCCCTCCCTGGTCTCTCCACGTGGACGCTCTTCAGTGCTCTGTGCTGATCGTGGCTACAGTGCTCGGCAAAACGGGCCCTCTGCATATTCGGCTTGAGTGAGTTTTATTAAGTTGGACTTCAGAATTTTTAAGGGCAAACCCACTTGTGTATTTTTATCTAACAATCCTCGCAACCCCCGCCCTTAGGTCAAGCCCAGGGAGAGTCTTTCTGTGTTTCTGACGCCCGTCCTGCAGGGGGCGCCGGTGCGTCACTGCCGGGGGCCGTTTTGAAAATGCTTCATCAGTGGCGTGTTGTGAGTGAAGGGGTGTGGTTGCCAGTTCTGGTCATTTCTGGAGGAAGGAGACCGAGTCACTGAGCGGGAAAGGTAAAGACGGAGGTTGTTAGGTGAGTTAATACCTGCTACAGGAGCTCCTCTGGGAGGAGCTGACTGGCTTCTAGCCCCTCTCTGGCCCCCTACCTGGCTCAGCCTCATGCGAGACCCAGGCAGGTTTCTTCGTGGGCATCTGGGACTAAGTTTGCTGCTTGTTTGAACGTCCAGCGGAGGCTCACAGGGGGGCGTTGGGAACCGAGACAGTGAGGCTCCCCCTTAAACTGTAAATAGCACCGTTCGAGGAGGGCCGCAGAGGGTTTTGGACTCAAAACCACAAAATGAGTTCAGATATTCCTAGCATCCAGGCAGGTGGTCTTTATGTTGATCAAGTTGAAGGTTTTTATAAATTTCAAACTTTCTGTGCAAATTGCAAACAAAACGCTTCAAAGATTCCACTCTTTCAGGCCTAAGGTATTTTCAAAGACTTCTTCAACCTCGCTCTTTGTGTAACTGGTTCAGAGATTCCCGATCCAGGTGTTTCTTGCTTGGGCGGCTTTATTTATTTTTCCCCTGATTAAGCACCATGCGTACCAGCTGCTTTTTAAACCTTGTTTTGATGGGACTTCCCCTGCTTCAAACAGTTCCTAACACTCCGTGACAGCTCTGCTTGTTCCAAACACAGCGCTGAGAGAAATCTGGGAGTAATACTCGCGTCCTAGGGGAGGGGCGCCTTCCTGAGAGGCCCCCCCACTGTAAATCCTGCGGCGCGCTTTCAGGTCAGCCGGTGACTTGCAGAAGGTCCTGGTTTTACGGCTGCCCGGCAGCGCTCCGGGCCCAGGACGTTCTGATTTCCTTGGATAGGTCGTGGGGGCGGGAGGGCCGCAGTGTGCGGGGGAGGCCGGAGCCTGCCCGGGCCCCCACCTCTGCTTCAGCCTCACAGCTGTGCTCTGTGTTTCAGAGCCTAGGGTTCAGTGAAGGGGTTCACTTGGAAAAAATGGTTCCGGAGCTCAAAAAAATCTCTAAATATAATTTTAATAGATGCAGTTCAAGTGCTCTCCAAAAATGCTGTCCCGGTTGGACACTCTGTGTTGCCCCACACTAATGCTGGATATTTAATCTTGTTATTTCTAGTCTCATGGGTAAAACCTTATATCTCAATCTTACTTGAATTGTATTTCCATTATTATTAGTGTGGGTAAGAATCTATCTACATTTTTATTGGTCACTTACATTTTTTTCTGTGAATTGCCTACCCACATATATGCTTTATATATATTTTTAAAGATACTTACTGATTTTCAGAAGCTATTCTCACATTATGATATTAAATTGCATTGAAATGTTTTCTATCAAGGTGCATTTGTCTCTTGTATTTGTGACATCTTTTTAAATATTTTATTTTACTGTTTCTTGATTTTCGTGTCTTTCTTAAAACTGTTTGTACAGCTCCGGGGTATAAAATACGAGTCTCCTTTCCTCTGGTACTTCTTTAGCTTGCTTTCTTTCCATTTGGATTTTGAAGGCTGTGGGGTCTTGGGATTAGATTTTACTCCACTTGTTAGCTAATTAGCTGCCTTGCACTGTGTCGTGGACTCTGGCAGAGGACGTGAGATACCTGGGCCCGAGACAAAGGGCCGGACTGCCCACCACACAGCAGCGGCATGAGCAGCAGCGTATCTGTGTGGGTTCCCTGGCCCCCAAGCCTGGGTGGGGGTGCGGGTGGCACAGAGCACCCATTTCCATTTCAGTGAGCTTTCTAGCAGAGCGTGGTTTCACTTCATCCCTCAAGGGTGCCCACCAAAAGCACAGCCCTGAGGAATGGCCTGGCCTTGCTTTCCTGGCACACCCAGTGGGATGTGCTGGAGACGGGACCCATGGACCTGCTCCCGACAAATCCACGGAGAATATATTTTCATACATGGCGGGAGCTAGAGATCCAATGTTTCCCCAAAGGAGAGTTGACAGTCCAACATCATTTGCTAAATAGCTCATAGTTAGTTAGTTGGTTAGTTAGTTGGTTAGTTGGTTAAAATCACCACTAACCTGAAATGCCACTGTGGCATTTAATGCCATGTGTTATATTCCCATACATAACGGGGTGGTCCTGGACTCACACCTATTAAAGGATCAATTTCCGTTCTTCGAACCAAACCACACTGTTTGTTTTGCTAGCATGACCCATTGTCTTGATATCTTTTACAGTCTCTGGTGGGGATGCTATTGTTCATTTTCTCCTCGGGTAAAATTCAGAATCACACTCTATAAAAACCTGGAATTGTGATGGAGATTGTATTGAATTTACAGATCAATTTGAGAAAAAAGTCAGCATCATTTAATAATATGGTGTATCTTTGTAATCATTTTTTAAAACGTCTTTGAGTAAAGTTTTAGTGTTTTGGAGATTTGGAATCTCTTAATGGGTTTATTTCTAGGTATTTATAGTTTTATTATGGTAGATATTTTTTCTGTCACATTTTTTATATTGCTCTCCTTGGCACCTCTACTGAACTCTTTCAAAACCATCAATATTTCAATTAATTCTCTGGTTTTCTGAAGGTTAGACATGTTTGGCTTTTTCTTTCCTATCGCTGTAACTCAGTTTTTTCCTGGGCCCCTGGCCGTGACTCCAGCGCACTGTGGGAGGTGGGCGCTCGTTTCCTGTTGCTTCTGTAACAATGACCACAAACCTGGTGCCGTAAAGCAATCAAACGATCATCTTGCAGCTCTGGGGCCACAAGCCCAAATGGGTCTCGCTGGGTTCGAGTCAAGGTGCCTGCAGCACGGCATTCCCGCCGGGGCTCTGAGGGGGGACGCCACCCCTTCCGGAGGCCGCCCGCGTTCCCTGGCCCTTCCTGTGTCTTCCAACCTGTGGCTCACACTCTGCTTCCCTCTTTCACTGATGGGGATCCTGGGGATGACGTGGGACCCACTCCAGGTAACCGAGGAGAGTCTCCCCATCTGAAGAGTCTCAATTTGATCGCATCTGCAAAATTCCTTGAGCGGTGTAGGTAACACAGTCCCAGGTTCCAGGGATTAGGGCGTGGACACCCTTGGAGGGGCCGTTCTGCCCGTCACAGCTTCCTTGTCTTAATCCAGACATTAATGGGAGCCGGTGTAATATTTTGGCATTAAAAATAAGGTTTTTAGGTTTCTATTAGACCATTTTTATCAAGAGAGGGAGTTTCCTTCTTCTAGCCTGCTAAAGCTTTTATCAGGAGAGGATGTTGAAGTCCTTTAAAATCTGGGGCACTCGTTCAGGTGATGGTCTCCGTCAATCCGCATAGCGGTTACTTCCATCAGGTCCCTCCTGCTGAAGCATCCTTTCCTTCGAGAGAAGCTCCACTTGATGGTGACAACTATTCTTATATGTAAGGATGGGTTCAGGTTGCTGATGTGTTATTTAGTAAAGCGGTGTCTGTGTTGGAAGCATGAGTGGCTCGTGTGTGTGTGTGTGTGTGTAACTTTAAAAGCAGAAGTCTGCCCTTAGGTGTGCTTATGAGACCTAACGAGTTATTCTCAGATATTTAACGTTAAAGAGCAACACGTGAGTTTGAGCACTGGCTCCCGGGTTAGTCTTACACAGCAGCCCAGCGTAAGGCACAGCTCTGCTTCCTTCAGTGGGTTTATAGGGACATATTCTGACTTTGTGACAGTGACATAGCTCTGATGGACAGTCCTTGAGAAAGAAAATTATGTGCATGTAAAACTAGGGAGGCGGAGGAAACTGAGAAGTGTCCTAAATGATGAGCTGAGTGCCGGTGAACAAACAGTATATAGTGTCTTGAAATGCTGGGCAGTTGCTATGCTGGGGGTTAGAAGGGGTTAATAGGATGTGACAAATAATATTTGTTTAATTTGGAGTTGGGGACATTTTTCCTTGGGAGAACTGTGTCTCCCACTGGAGCAAAGCACGCTAACATAAGGGGGTGTTTCACTAGCCCCCGAGGCTGAAGGACGGCCTGAGGCTGCCTTCCCGTTCGTGGACAGGGCCGAGCAGACCCTGACTGTTGCTGCGTTTACAGAGAAAAGGCTCTGAGAAGGTGGCTGCATTTCACAGCAGCAGCGTGTTTGCTTGAAGAAGAAATGTTGCTGACTCTTGGAGTAGAACAGTCTTGCAAAGCGATAGAAAATGGCACGACACATGTAATCTTGGAAAATGATAGGCAAGCAAGCCAGCTATGGGTGAGCTCTGCCAAGCTTGTGCTGAGGCTGAGAGTCCTGACGTGTGACTTGCGGCAGGAGGTCACTGTCATGGTCCCAGGTCGCGTCTACCACTTACCTACCCCTCTCACCTTCAGTGGACAGGAAAACAGGGCTCTTCAGAAACCAGGGCATAATCTCAGCTCTCTTCCCAGTCTCCTGTTGGGGATGAGGCCCCGAACTGGGGTCAGACATTGCCCTGGTTCGTCGCGAGCACTGTGCTGACATACTGAAGGCCCAGCCTCTCATCCACACTGTCACCCACGGATCCATCGCCATACACAGGAACCAGAAAGACACTGAATTGGAGTCGGTGCAATCAGAGGGTCACCGAGACCCTGCTTTATGGTTGTTGGTGTCTGCTGGGGGTACAGAGTCACTTTGAGGCCGAGGCTGGAACATCCTTTCCAACACATACATGCACACATGTGCAAGCACACCCTCAGACGCAGACATGCACACACACAAATGCACACCCACACACGTGCATGCACACACATGCACACAACACATGCAGGTGCACACACGTGTGCACATGTGCTCAGCTAAAAAGACAAGATCGCTGCTCAAGTCCTCACTGTGGAACCAGACTGAGCCCTGTAGACAAGGGGCGGGTGCTAGCGAGGAAGCAGAGCCCCCGGCCCCTCTGATGGGCCCAGTGGAGAGCAGAGCCATAGACTTGGTCCTGGCTGAGCCGTGCAGCTTATATACCAGCCTCTCCCAGTCAGCAAGACAGTGCGCTCGAGTTCCAGCTGCTCATCCTCATATTAAGGAGCAGTATTTTTAGAGCTGTTTTGTTTATTGAATGTTTAGTGTGTGTGTGGAACCCCAGACTTTGGTTCTGTAGGTGTCCATGTGCTTCTCTAACACATGACTGCATACCTGGCGGTTTCTTCAGGGCCCCGCCCTGTCCCCTGCCCAGTTCCATGCAGGTGGACACGGGTGTCCCTGCACCGCTGACTGCCCAGCTGACAAACTGTGACGGACAGACGAGAGGACCTGCTCGAGCAGGGACAGGGTGGTGGCGGTTTCAGCCCCTTTGAAGGCCAACCTTGACTGGCTCAGACGTAACACTTGGCCCCGCTCCAGCTCTTGGCCGAGGTCGGGGACTCCGTAGAGTCTCAAAAAGACAAGGCCCTAGGAAGCTCTAAACTAGGAATGTGCTGCCGGTAACAGGAGACTTCTGCTCCCCCGACCCCTCCCCAGCTGGTCACATCCCTCCTCTCCATTCTCCTGAGGACAGAGGCAGGTATGAGACGCTTGGCTTTTCTGATGCCTTACCTTCAAGGCACTGGGGCCAGTAGCCCCAACTGGGTGGAAATCAAATCCTGGCTTTGTTCGCTACACTGAGAATCATTTGACTGGAGCAGCACTAAGTGCCGCAGTGAATCGTTTTCTCTGAAAGTGGAAATGACCAGTGTAGAGCTACCGTTGCGCCTTGGGTGGGAAGGCCAGCACTCCTGCGAGGCGCCATGGGACTGGCCCCTTCTCCACCGACAAGCCACAAGCGACAAGCGACAAGCGAGCAAACAGCGGGCTGGGCCCTCAGCTCCTGCTCCGCCTGCTGCCTGCAGAGGTCGCCGGGTGTCTGGCCAAGTCCCCCCAGCTTCCCCTTTTAACGTGTGTGCAACATGGCATCTCTGATTCTGCCCAGAATCAGCCCGCCCTGTTTTAGGATTCGGCTCTGCCTTTGCTCCTCTCTGATGACAGGAGCGGTTTCCGACGTTTCAGGTGAGAGCGCAGAGCGCGCCAGGCATTCGCCTGCTGGGCGGGCTCTGCTGTCCTGTAACCCTGACCCTCCGGTCACCCCCTCACAGCTGTCCCTGAAGTCCGCAGCCCCAGGCAGCTCTTTCTGGGAGGCTCCGGGCCCCTCCAGGCCACGGCACCCAAGCCCACCTGGCCAGCCTACCGTCTGCTCAAACCTGCAGCCTCGGCCTCTCTCTCGGGAGCTCTAGACACGAGTGAATGACGGTGGCACATTTCGCAGGGAAATGCTGAAATTGCATCAGCGGAACTGTTTCCCTGGCCACGGGCAGGCCTGATGGCTGCGCAGAACGAGAAATCTTGCTCGGGAGGCGGCTCGTTGAGTCCTCACGAGCGGCCATCCTCGGAGACCGCCCCATACCCCTTCCCGCCCACCCTGTCCCACTCCAACCCTATGG